TGTGTGTGTGTGTGTGTGTGTGTGTGTGTGTGTGTGTGTGTGTGTGTGTGTGTGTGTGTCCGGGTAATTAAACTCGTCAACTACGCAAGTTCTGAAGCTGAAATTTTGCCAGTGTGTTCCCCAGCCAGTTGCCAGTCCAGGATCGCGATATCAATCCTCACGCATGTCTGGGCCCTGGGTACGATCACGTGAAAGTTTTGGCGAGGAAATTGCTAATTCGGGAACGAGAAAAGCTAGGGAGCTGAAATCTTAGGGGAATGTTCCCTACCCATGTGTGACAACAAGATTTTAAATTCAGCTGCCCGGGACTTACGTACGGGCCCGTGAAAATTATGGCGGAAAATTTATAATCCGGGAAGCCAGAAATGCCAGAATGAGAGAAACCAGAAAGTTGAAACTTTGGGGGGATGTTCCCTACTCACGTACGACCAAAAGTTTTCAAACTCAGCTGCTTTGAACTGTCCGGGGGTCACGTACGGGCACGTGAAAATCATGGCGGAAAGAGCGCTAACTCAGGAAAGAGAAAAGCTAGAAAGCTGAAATTTTGGGGAACTGTTTCTTGCCCATGCATGACTAAAAGACTTCAAATTCAGTTGCCTAGGACTACCCGGGATTCACGTACGAGCACGTGGAGATTTTGGCGGGAAAATCACTAGTCCGGGAACGAGGAAATCTAGAACGCTGAAACTTTAGGGATATGTTCCCTACTCATGTACGACCAAAATTAGATGTTTAGAAGCGTCCGAGGCCCATTTTTTGTACGGACATGTGGAAATTTTGGTGGTGAAATCACTAACCCGAAAACAAGAAAATCTAGAAAGCTGAAACTTTAGGGGACTGTTCCTCATTCATGTACGACCAAAAGTTTTCAGATTCAGTTCTTTAGAACCACCCGGTGCTCACGTACGGACGCGTGAAAATTTTGATAGGAAAACTGCTAACTCGAGGACGAGAAAAGCTGGAAGACTTTAATTTTAAGGGAATATCCCCTACTCATGTGCGACTATAAGATTTCAGTTTTAACTCTTTTAGTGCGGCCTTTTTCGTGGGCTAGCAACTTTCCATTTGTCGGGTCACTGAAGTCGACATCTACAACGGACATACAATATAGCTGTACAGTATGTCACAGGGCTAGCTACTGTGATTCCTTGCGATCTTGCTACGGTGCGAAAAGTGCAAAAATGCATGATCGCGCCGGCCCGCCTGGTGCGTTCTAGCCTGGGTTTTGTTATCATAGCTGAATAGGATTTTTCGGTTTGAAGTGCGAAGGTGTTTGGTTCTGTAGCCAGTCCAGTGCATTTTAGCGCTTCAGAGGGGCATGCACTTTGTTGTTGTTAAGATTTTACTTTTTCGGTAGCTTTTGCTTCTCCTAATTGGGCTGGGCCTCTTAGGAAGGAATTTATTTTTTTTTTTTTGTATATGCGTCAAGTTCTTGGTGCATGCTAATTATCGTTCTGTAATCAATTTAGAGCCGAGCATCAGCATCAGTCCTTTCGCCAAGCCGGAGTAATGGGGACACATCTCCGCTCGAAATCCATTCAAGCATGAGTGAATCGGAGAAAGAGCGCATTGAGGTTGAGAATCGTCGGAGACGTATACGGCGTACGGCGAAATTGCATAGGTGAGTTTTCGTGCTGCAGTGTTGTTTTGGAGATGCAAGTATTCAGATTTCTGGGTGCTGTGGACATAATTTCCTAATTTATTGTCGCTGCCCTCTGCTTCTTTTTTATTTGCCAAGGTTGACCGGACAGCCGTGAGGAATTTGCTGTGGTATCGAAATGGAGCAGCGTGTCAGGCCCAGTTGTGTCAGGTCTTGTCTTGGACTAATGATTGTTCTTCATGCATGCTTCATCTATTAGACTTAGTGAACTGCAACTGAAAATGTTTAATTCGACAGGTTAAAAAAATATTGCGCTTCGCGAAAATCTTAGTGCTAATTTTCAAGTGTCGACGATTTTTGAAGAAATTGGAGAGAGGAATCGGCTGTTTGCTATGTTTCCTCTACCTCCGAGCATACCAATAAGTTCGAATTCCACGACATAGTTCTTTGGCTTCAGATCGCGTTTTTTTTATTTTTTTATCAGCAAGAATTTCAATTTTTTCAAAAATTTTGCACCGTTTACTCAAATAAAGCACCACGTTGAAATCGGTACCCTTCCTTGTGCATGTATCTGCCTTTCTCTTTGAAAAATTCAACCCTGCATTGCGAAAAGTGGGAATTTCAGACCTTGGAAATGGGGCCTTGACTGTGTTTTGAACTCCGAACCTAAAATCATCCTACTGTCCTGTATCCTGGTTGATCAAACCGGGCTTTGGTATAAGCTAATTTTATGGGAACGGCGAAGCCACAAGCATGAAACTTTGGCGCTGAAATGTAGTGCTTAAAAATCCCAGATATCCCGAAGTTAGCCTTTAAAGTGTGCTTCTTCCGTTCCAGTTGGTATTATGCTCAGATTCAAACTTATTTCTTACCTCCTGAATGTAGCGGGCTGGAAAATCATGATTTTCGGTTTGCAGTTTGTCGGCGGCAGTTAATTAGCTTTCTAATCGACTGTTTCATGAATTTTGAGTTTTCCTGCCCAGGTTTAGGGTAATTTTATAACTCTAATGTTGGAACGAGCCAAAATGTTTAGATTTGTTTTTTCAGTGTGATGAGAAACCAGTTTTTGAACACGCTTTAGCTTTCCGTATGATCTTTAAGTGCAGATACAGATCAGATTGTATTCTTGAATGAAATAGTCCACGAGGTTAAACTTCTGAGAAGGTGAGATCGACTTATTCAATTATTGTCTTGCGCAACCACTGTAGCCTTGCAACAGTTAATCGCCAAAACGCATTGTCGCACCACCTTCTCTTGTGCGTTGTTTAAACCTCGCGGTCTTATTCTCTACGCGCCAACAATTATCACAGCTCGCTGCTAAGTACTTAGCGTCAATTTCTGTTCTACATTGTTACATCGAGTTTTTTTTAGGCTGCAGCATCCGAATAATCATCACTACCACGCCTCCGAGGATGAATCCGATCGCGTGAGTGCGGTTTTTTTTTACAAAATTTGATTGTCATTTTCTGTAATTCAGCGTGCTTGTGGAGTGCCTTGTGACACCTTTTCCACTTCTCGGTCACCGGCTTGAGAAGTCGTGGGGGAAGCCAGTTATTTTGCACTCTTTTAATTCTTTGAGCGGAAAGCTGATGCTGGCTTCCTGAAGCTTCCAAAAGACTCCAACCGAATTTAGTTTCCCTCTCATGCTAGTTTTTTGAACGCGTTGCCAGCAATTCTCGAACTGTGCTTCGCGGGACTGATGACTTGAAAAATGTGCTGCGCCATGTATTGGCAGAATGATGAGCATAGTAATTTTTGTTGAAGTTTTTGAGAGGCCTTAATTTTTAGTGAATTTATGGATATCTAGTGATTTCAGAAAGCCGCTTTGGCACACAGACTCCGCGCACAAATGCAGCGTGCGTTGCGAAAAACTGCAGAAGAACTGAAAGAAGGAGAGCGTCAAAAACATCAAGAGTATGAAAGAGCAAGACGAGTAAGCCTTTCCCGATATTTATTTTTGTTGCCCTTTTGACAGTATTAAAATTTGGTAATTTGGGTTACTTGAGGCAGCATAAAAGAGTCCACGTTTACTACGTGAAGGTGTCCTTCCCTTTGTCTCTCGGAATTTCGAATATGTGCATACGTACAACTAACGACACCTTCGCATTTTTGTTTCAGCCTAAGCATTATGCAGTGCGTTTTTACTCTTCATAACATTTCAGCTGCGAGAAGAACGACTGTACGAACAGTCACTGGAAATGAGAAGGCGGTATGTTTTAAATGTTAAGAAGCTGTGGCTTTCAACAGAGGACGGTGAGACCGATTGTCATCCGCCCACAAATGTGGCGTCCTCTGGCCAAGCCAGCTCATTTCCTGACCATATGGCTCCTTCCTAACTGAGTCAGCCTACTCCATAGTCTGACAACCTTGCCGAAACAGTGCACTCCCTGGTTTTTTGCCGTTCTCACTGCATTTGCTGTAACTGATTGTTTTGGCATCGTATTTCGCATTTTCGGGTTTAGTTTTTTGTTTCATACAGCAATCTAGCAATTACTAACAAATTTTTTGCTTCTGGTAGGCTGATTTTGGGCTCTTTTTTTTCCCCCGATCCTGATTAATATTCCACTTCTTGGGCAGCTTTGCATCCCTTTGCCCAGTGTTTTCACATCCTTGAGGTTCTGAGTAGGGGATTTTAGTACTTTTTCAGTGTAAAACAAGGAGCCATTATATCTTCTTCTGCCTTGATTCTGCACCAGTAGGAAGTTATTTTCTTCTGTGAGTTTTTTGACATTTCAAGAGATGCTTATAGAGTATTGCTTAATTTGATGGTCTCTTGGTGTGTATTTCTGCGTCGAGTTGATTATATCCATTACTTCGTGAATTATAGTCTTCACCACAGTCCAGTACCTGTCTGTACTGGACTTTTCCACCTCATCGTCACTGCTGGTCATGTTGAGACCATTAACTTGGATGATTCCGATAGTTTTATCAGAATTTAGTTTGAAGATGAGTACAGCGACTCGTGACGAGTGGTGCGATTGCCTTGTTTCAGATGCACACACCGAGGGCGTCGCACAATGCTCCACTGATTTTCTGGGCAAAGTTATTCATGAGTATATCCTTCGACAGCAACCCACAACTGTAGTGCATTTTGAGAGGTCCTGGCCGTTTCGATACAGCATCCTCTGTGTCTGAAATTCTTAGTAGATCTTTGTCTCCCGCTTACGGATGCGCCGCCAAAGACCGGAAGACGCGTATGTTACTGGGTCCATTTTTTTAAATGCCATTTTGCATATATAAAAATTGGCCAACGCACAGGCTGCCCGTGCGAATATGCGTTTTTTTTTTGCATAGTTCCCCGCAGTTTTTGTCGCTGCTGGCATCGGTTTTTTCGGCAAATGCTTCTAGCTAAACAAATTAAGACTGGCCGCCAGAACTAGCAGGAAACA